TCTTTCCCTTATGCTCCTATCCCAAGGGAGCAAGAACACTCCCTTCCATGTTAAGCCTCCTGGCACCACCAAATGTGCACTCAGTTGGAGCAGCTGTGAGGTGTGTGATGGCAGAAGGTGGAGCTTAGAAATCTGAAGATGTGAGCCCCAATACTGACATTCAACAGCAGTACTATGATCTTGGGAAAGAGAGTTAATCTCTCTCTAGCTTCACTGGTGATTGAAGGTTGTTGTAAAGATTCCAGTTTGGAGGTAGTTTAGGCACATAGCCTACCACAGCAATGTTAGTTTCCCTCCTCTCTTTGTACTTCTCAGGCCCTCACAAGTCAGCTGCCCTTCCTTTGTCATGTCCTACTTACTCTAGACAGACCTATGGTCCACAATGTCCCAAGGCATGGTTTTATGATTTCCTCCTGTTACTATCATGCCTGGCAATATTCTTGCTATTAAAAACACTGTGCTTCTTGACTAATAACCTCTGTGGCCTGTCTTACATAAATGTGATTTCTGTTAAGCTTTTGGGAACACTGAGAGTAGCTCACAACCTAAAGCCTGTTCCTGATTACTCCTTTGAGGAAATCTGTTGAGAGCCACTGCCCTAGGTTGTACACTGCTTAAGGATAGGCTCTGATCTTCCCGGGTGCTATGCAGAGTTGCCTCGTCCTTCTTGTGGGTTGGAGCAAAGGTTCACTAAGATGAATGGAGTGACAGGGAAATGGCACCCCCTCCTCAGTCAGCTGGTTGGTGGACAGAAGGTAATGCAGCAACAAGCATACACTACCCCAAGTTCGTTTATGGTGAGGCTTCGCCAACAGGAGGTCTTGGTAGGCTCTGGGTATAAAGAAAACTTGAGTTAGAAAGTAACCCCTGGGAAGAAAATTAGTTTGCTGGATTGCATTCCCATAAAGTCCCATCAGAAAGGAGAAGCTTTTGGAAACAATATGGGTGATTTTGCAATCCTCTAGTCACACAGATTCCCAAACAGCAAACACAAAACATACAAACAAGAAACAACTGAACTCAGAGGAACCTGCTCTAACTCAGGGTTGCCGGTATGTGCTGTTGGATTTGCAGAGAGCCTCACAAGAAACCTGGCATACAGGGCAAGAGGGATTAGCTTTTTCTGCTTGTTCAGAGGATAAATCACAGGACACAGATGTTAGGTTAAACTCATCAAGGTCAAGAGCTTGTAAATGACAGGGGCTGGGCCAGAACTCATGTTCCCATGTCTGAGTTCAATGCTTGTATTGAGTTCCTCAGAACCAGGTATTCCCTTTCTACACATGTACAGAGGACTGGGCCTTGTTGGGTGATTCAGCTGGCAATTCTGCTTTCTAAACAGGACACACTTTCCCACCCCAGAACTTATTCACCAGGTGTAGACATATCCTATTCCACCAACTCTATCAAGGGCTAGGAGACATCAAGGGGAGAGACAGGACCCCTTCCCTCATTGGGATTACAATCTGAAATCCTGTCAAACAAACATTTCACCTCTTCCAGCCAAGCAGGTATAAAGCATTCACTTGCTTTCAAAAAGTTCAGATAAAAACATGCACAAAATCTTCCATTTCATGTATTCCTTCAATGTGCATTTATTTATTAAATGCCGCTCTCACACACTGCTTGAAACCCTAGAGAGACAGAGGCTGTGCTTTCTGTGTGATGCATGCTTTTCATTTATTATCTCATTTAATTCTCACCACCCTATGAGACCACTGGTACTTTAATTAACTCCACTCTATAGATGAGGAAATGGAGGTTCAGAGAGGTGAAGTGACTTGTGCAAAATAGTATCTTTGGAATGACATAAGAAAGATATGGAGTGCTTGCTATAGAGAGCAAAAAATGGGGAGCAAAAATGGGCTCATTACCCTTTTGTGCCAACCAAGAAGAGCTCCTGGGAGGAAGAGGCCTCTGAGCAAAGAGTTGGAATTTAGGTAATTGGAGATGAGAGGAAAGGCATTTCACACAGAGGAAACAGTGAGCCAAGACCTGGAGTGGATAAAGTTCAGAGTATGTTATGAATTATATTCGGATTACAGAATGAAAGAAAGCAGCAAAATAAATCCGGTATTCAGGTATACTGGAGCCAAGAAACTTTGGAGCCAACCTGCACTCTACCACCCACTCCCTATTCACCACTTCCATCCAATCAGTCTCTAAAGCCTGTCAGTGATCACCCTTAAAATGTCTTTCTGCCTCTCCATCCCCATGGCAACCACCTTAAGGCTCACTTTCATTCCCTCTTGCTTCTTATTCTAATTGCTTCCTAAATGACCTGCCAGACAATAGTCTGCTCCTCTGTGAGGCTGTACAAATGCAAGTCTGATCCAGTCAGTGCCCTGCTTAATAATCTTGTGAATATATAACATTTTAAAGACTCTGCACCTCTTGCACACTGTTCGTTTTTGCAGTCCCATCTCCTCTCATCACTCAGCACTTCGGCCACAGCCATCTTATCTAGGTCCTATGCCGGCCCAGGAATTAATCAGTATACACAGAGCCACCTTCTGAAAACAAGGCGAGTGAATGAATATGCTGTGTAAGCCAAGACAGGAAAGGAGAGCTGGGAGCAGCTCATTCCTTCTAAGAATACACTCCTGTCCCTCCCCCATGGTCTCAAACACTCCCCCAGTCTGGGAATAGAGTAGAGACACCCTCTTCCCCAAGCCCCGCCAGCCAATCTTGTACTAGACTGAAAAAGGCAAGAACCCTATATTTAGACTTTTGTGTGTGTGTGTGTGTGTGTGTGTGGTATGCGGGCCTCTAACCGTTACGGCCTTTACTGCTGCGGAGCACAGGTTTCGGGCGCACAGACTCAGCGGTTATGGCTTATGGGCTCAGGTGCTCCGTGGGACACGAGATTTTCACGGAGGGGGATACGAACCCGTGTGCCCTGTATCGGCGAGCAGACTCGCAACCACTGCGCCACCAGCGAAACTCGGGAAGAGTATGTTTATTTCTTCTTTACTTACTCCTGTCCTTGCCAATCCCAAGCCGTCATTTCTCCCCTAGTCCCACCCCTGCTTAGGCCTGTCCGTTCTTCTATCTGACAGCGGAAGTGTGCCTGTAAGACCCGCCCACTTCCTTTTGGAGTCTGGGGATTGCGTGGCAGGTGAGGCGGAGTCAATTCAGCCCTGCATTCTTGTGCTTTGCTGCGAGCGCTGGGGGCGGCCGCTAGTGCAAGTCGGCTTGCGTGGGTGTTAGCTTTGTAGCTGAAAACGTCTCGCTTGTTACAAAGACTCTATTGACGTTGGTGGCTTCAGCGGCGGCCACTTTTTAAAGTGGAGATAGCTTTTTTCTGCAGAGGTTACAGTTATCTTTCCCT